AGAGGCTGCAGCGGACTGCGCTCTCCTTTAGGACAGAGGCCTGCAGCGGACTGCGCTCTCCTTCGGGACAGAGGCTGCAGCGGACTGCGCTCTCCTTTAAGGACAGGCTGCAGCGGCCTGCGCTCTCCTTTAGGGACAGAGGCTGCAGCGGCCTGCGCTCTCCTTCAGGGACAGAGGCTGCAGCGGACTGCGCTCTCCTGTAAGGACAGAGGCTGCAGCGGACTGCGCTCTCCTTCAGGGACAGAGGCTGCAGCGGACTGCGCTCTCTTTCAGGGACAGAGGCTGCAGCGGACTGCGCTCTCCTTCAGGGACAGAGGCTGCAGCGGACTGCGCTCTCCTTCAGGGACAGAGGCTGCAGCGGACTGCGCTCTCTTTCAGGGACAGAGGCTGCAGCGGACTGCGGACTGCGCTCTCCTTCAAGGACAGAGGATGCAGCGGACTGCGCTCTCCTGTAAGGACAGAGGCTGCAGCGGACTGCGCTCTCCTTCAAGGACAGAGGCTGCAGCGGACTGCGCTCTCCTGTAAGGACAGAGGCTGCAGCGGACTGCGCTCTCCTGTAAGGACAGAGGCTGCAGCGGACTACGCTCTCCTTTAAGGACAGAGGCTGCAGCGGACTGCGCTCTCCTGTAAGGACAGAGGCTGCAGCGGACTGCGCTCTCCTTCAAGGACAGAGGCTGCAGCGGACTACGCTCTCCTTTAAGGACAGAGGCTGCAGCGGACTGCGCTCTCCTGTAAGGACAGAGGCTGCAGCGGACTGCGCTCTCCTTTAAGGACAGAGGCTGCAGCGGACTGCGGACTGCGCTCTCCTTTAAGGACAGAGGCTGCAGCGGACTGCGCTCTCCTTTAAGGACAGAGGCTGCAGCGGACTACACTCTCCTTTAAGGACAGAGGCTGCAGCACACTGCGCTCTCCTTTAAGGACAGAGGCTGCAGTCTGCTGTGCACATACATACACAGTAAATACAATCAAACTCCTGTTGTTGCACAGTCAGCAATGAGGCAGAAAGAGGGACAGATGGACACTTTGTGGACATTTTTATTAAGAATTAAAACCCTCACTGAAGAGAAATATTTGTTATCATAGAAGATTTAAAGTGTGTCAGTTTTCAGGACAAAAACCTTTTTTCTGATCGAGTTGCATTGTTCTTATCATTCTCCCCAAATTCATCATTATATTTAATCTCTGCTCCTCTTTCTTTGGATCAAACTACGTTTTATTAGTGAGCTGTTTGCTCCTCAGATTTAAAACCTCTCACACTCTCCAGAGCAAAGATCCAAACTGTGACGGTGTTCTGAGTTTGGTTGATTCAAATCGTCCTCACAGGAAGAAAGGTTTTCTGTATGTTTCATTAGAATGACAGTTAACTAATACTTAAACCTGATTTTAAAATAACACAAACCTCATGATTAAACCCCGAAGAGATCATTAAAACATAAACTCACTTGAATATGCAGATCTCCTCTCGAGGTGCGTCTTTACATCATTCCGCGCCAGGAGCGCTATAAGTTTATTATCTTCACAGGAATCTGCAGAATATCGATGAAAGGGAGAGAGAGAGAGAGAGAGAGAGAGAGAGAGAGAGTGAGAGTTAACTGAATCCTCTGATCTCCACAAACAGCTTTTTATCAGCGCAGAGTCCGGACTGAAGAACAGAGAAGACAAATAATCCAATTCGATCTGAGTGCAAATCAAAAAGAATCAGTAAAAGTAGATCCTGATGAGTTAAAGGTGATACATCCGCGATATGTGCTCCTCTTCCACGCCCCGGTGTGATGCTCTCTGTCCGGACTCTGGAGACGGATCTGCTCGCTGAGGATGATGTGGACGAACTGATGCGGATGTTACCGGATAAAGGAGGACGCGCTTTTTACGCGCAGCTTCTCCAAACGCTCCTCACTCCAGCTGTGCGCTCTTCCCCCCCCCCCCTCTCTCTCTCTCTCTCTCTCTATCCCTCCCCCTCTCTCTCTCTCTCTCTCTCTCTCTTTCGCTTGATAAGTAACTTTTAAAAACTGAGAGAGAGCAGAAAACACCGACAGCAACATTTGAAACACCGGGGTTATATCTCCCCTCACTGTCTGTCTGAGCTCCAACCTGTCTGTAAATTTAACTATGCAAATAATTTAACTGTTGATCACGTCGTGTTGGTTTGAGAAAATATCAGAACAGTTGCATATAACTGTCAATCAGGTCAGCTACACGCCTTATTGTGAATATTTTCAGGTTTTATCTTTATTGAGGACATTGCATTAACAACTCTGTTTCTGTCTCTTTGCACACGGGTTCACTGGAGACTGAGAACGTAGCTTCAGTGTGTTCAACATTTTAAGAAAGCTGCGTTCTCCCAACATCAGCTGACGACCAAATATTGACGTGCTGCTGCTGAGCGTGCCGTCTGACTCTGGCATGAGACGGAAGACAAACAGAGGACCAGTCAGGGAACAGGGACAAGTAATTATGGTGACACAATGAGGACAAAAACATTGCTCCAGATTGCTCTTTTATAATTATAGGTATCAAAGAAACCAAACAGGTGATTAAATCATCCATTAACACATTCTGAAGCAAAAACTAAAACATCAGCTACACTGAAGGCAAGAATCAAAAAACAGATCTGAATCAGTGAGCTGTGTAGAGAGTGAGATGATAAAGGTATCTTACTCTCTGATCATTAAGGAAACATGCTATGTTGAAGTGCTGGCTTCTCTGACAACAATGCAGCAGCCAGTATGTCCTCCTTCAAACTTTAGATTCTGCTCCTGAATGCTCTGGATTTGTTTGGACCAGAGAAGGTAGGCGCTTTTAAGACACACCCCCACACGGCCGTTTTGGACGCCCCTCAGTTTGTCAGATATGAGAGCAGTTATCAGGTCAACAGGTGTTGCAGTGATGGAAGCGGTCAAGAGAAGTGGTTCAGATAGAAGTGATTGTACCCGACCTAAAAAGCCTCTGCATGTTTCTAATAAGCTCCACGAGCAGAAACGTGCTCAAACTAGGATCAATATTGGAGATGCTTTTGAAAAATGGAGAGAGGTTAGAACACAGAAAGGTTTACAGACCCATGCAGAGCTGGATAAACACTGAAGCTTCAGAGTCCACCACATGGGGACCTGAGTGAGCATCCACTCTAGAGAGGAGGGGGGGAGACAGCTCTCTATAATGTTTAGAATTTAGACTGCAGTACCCATTTTAAACACTAGGGGTCAGAGTTACATACTGCTCCTTTAAAGGTGACAACATGAAGATTCTCCTCGAGATTAAAAACGTTCAAGAAAATGTTTTTTCCTTCTAAACCTGCAATCATTTCATTGAGTGACTCTGATCTGTGTTCGTCTTCAACGAGGCAGAAGTCAGCACGCCGCTCTTTGTGGTGCGGCCTGTCGTCTCCAGGTGGCGTCTTCACGCGGCCAGGAGCTGAGGAATGCTGCTCTCTCTCCAGTCACTGCTGTACAGGTGACGCCACACAACTCGTCAGTTGAAGTTGTGACATTTCTTCCCCGGCGGTCATTTCAAGAAGTTGGCTGTGCACGCCCTGCAGAGTGAGGATCACTGAATTAACGAGCGGAGGCTTTTTAATACGCACACAGTCTTTATCATCCTGCTGCACTCAAACACTGAGCTGATCGTTTATCTGTCATCTTCCATCACTCATTAGTGACGTGTTCCTTTAGCTCGGGGTCCTCTGCACGACCACAGCTCATGATTTATGAGGACGGAGCGTTCACTTTTGACAAACGAGGTCAGAGAGGAGCGGAGGAGTTCAGCTGGTCTGTGATGATCCCGCGCAGCGCTGACCTGATGACGCTTACTTCAAATGATGATCCTCTGTTTTCTTAACTATGCACCTCAAGGAACTTGGTTAAAACAAAATAAGCAAATAATAACAACCGGATGTATGACGGCCAAGAGACTGAGTGCTAGCCACTGGAAAGAAACAGGAAAACTGAATCATGATCTATGGCTACATTCATTTCTGGAGGCTGTTTCAATGGAAGGTGCAGCCTCTAACCTGGTTGACGAATACAAGGAAGACCAACACATATGGAAAGACATTTTGGACATTATAAAGACTGACTAAAAACACACTCCGAAGACAAACAGAGCAGGCTACGTAACCAGAAAATAATACCTCCCTAAGTACACCCTCTCTTCACCCCTCTGTAGCTATACGATATATACTTCCTATGACCTTGTTTGTGTTTTGTTGTTGTTCTCTGCCTGTTTTGTTTTTTTTGTCAGATGTTGCAATTGTCTGTTAAAATGTTGACGCATACTGTAAGCTGTCTTTAAAGCTGAACTTAAGTAAAGAACTTTAAATGATAAAAAATGACCCTCCTCTGAAGAGTCTCTAAAGGTGTGTATACCTGTGTACCAGCTGTGCAAGGCTGTGACAACAAATGTCCCCCTGGTGGACAAATAAAGTATTGACGTCATCTTCGTCCTCAGTAAACAGGTCGTGACTCTCGCCTGTTCGATCGGCTCAGAGTTCTTCCTCATGTCCTTCAGCGCTTTGTGAAAAGTTAAGTTTCATAGAAAGTTGTGTTGACATTAAAGGAGCACTGTGTGGATTTGGAGGGGAAATTTGAAAGTTGGAGAAGAGAAACAATTCTGTGCCATATTTCCTTAAGTGAATAAACACTTTCCTCAGAGAAAAAAAAAAAAATAAAAGGTCCCTGAACTCTGTTTAGAGCTAAAAAGCTACCAGGAGAGTTACAATGTTAGAGAACATTTATGATCTGATGAGTTATTAAACTATGAGTGATGCTCTCACCGCCTTCTGTCAAACACATTCATTAAGACAGAGCCATCACATGCAGGTCTGTTGTTTTTATTCATAAAAGGTTCAGTTCAGTCTCTCAGCTGGTGCTGTGGCGCCCTCCTGTGGCGGTGGTGGGCTGCTGCAGGGCTGCAGATGAACAAAGGGCATGTGTTGATGTTCAAGTCCTCCTCTTTACCTCCCTCACCGCTCATCATTTGCTTTTTGTGACGTCTGCAGAGAAAAGAGAGCAGAGTTCATGTGTTACAAACAACAGATGACACATCAGACTTAAGTTTGTCATAAGATAAAGATAAACTTTATTGATCCCCCATAGGGGAAATTTTTGCATTACAGCAGCTCAAGAAAACAGGAATATGATTATTAAAAACAGTCAGTTAAATAAAAAAAATACAATAGAAAATGTGTTCCTCCCTCCAGGTGGGGAGGGAGTCTTTGACCCAGGATGAAGGAGTTTAAGTCTCTGTGTTTCGTCCACAGTGAGTGTAAGATGGACATCGTGATGAAGAGCGAGCTGAGCCTGAAGGTTTACCGCTCAGTCGTCACGAGCTGTGAGTCCAGACTGAAAGAATGAGATCACAGATACAAGCATCTGAAATGAGTCTCCTCTGGACTCAGACTTAGAGAGAGGGGGAGGAGCTTAGACATTCAGGGGGAGGAGCTTGGAGTAGAGCCGCTACTCCTTCACATTGAAAGGAGCCAGGTGAGGTGGTTCAGGTATCTGATCAGGATCCTCCTGGTCTCCTCCCTTTGGAGGTTTTTTTCTGGGAGGAGACCCCCGGGGTTGACCCAGAGCTCACTGGAGGGATTCAAAATCTCCATCCTGTCCTGGGAACGCCTCAGAGTTCAACAGGAGGAGCTGGAAGACGATGCTGTGAGAGGGAGTCCACTTCTAATGAGACCTGACCTCAGATCAGAGCAAGGAAACAGATGGATTCAAGTTTTTGTGAAAATTTAAAAATTAGTCTCCTTGTCTCCTCCTCTTCCTGCACCGGCCTCCTCGTCTCCTCCTCTTCCTGCACCGGCCTCCTCCTCCTCTTCCTGCACCGGCCTCTTCGTCTCCTCCTCTTCCTGCACCAGCCTCCTCGTCTCCTCCTCTTCCTGCACCGGCCTCCTCCTCCTCTTCCTGCACCGGCCTCTTCGTCTCCTCCTCTTCCTGCACCAGCCTCCTCGCCTCCTCCTCTTCCTGCACCGGCCTCCTCCTCCTCTTCCTGCACCAGCCTCCTCGTCTCCTCCTTTTCCTGCACCGGCCTCCTCGTCTCCTCCTCTTCCTGCACCAGCCTCCTCATCTCCTCCTCTTCTGCACCGGCCTCCTCGTCTCCTTCTTCCTGCACCGGCCTCCTCGTCTCCTCCTCTTCCTGCACGGCCTCCTCGTCTCCTCCTCTTCCTGCACCAGCCTCCTCGTCTCCTCCTCTTCCTGCACCAGCCTCCTCATCTCCTCCTCTTCCTGCACCGGCCTCCTCGTCTCCTCCTCTTCCTGCACCGGCCTCCTTGTCTCCTCCTCTTCCTGCACCAGCCTCCTCATCTCCTCCTCTTCCTGCACCGGCCTCCTCCTCTTCCTGCACCGGCCTCCTCATCTCCTCCTCTTCTCTTCCTGCACCGGCCTCCTTGTCTCCTCCTCTTCCTGCACCGGCCTCCTCCTCTTCCCTGCACCGGCCTCCTCGTCTCCTCCTCCTCTCTTCCTGCACCGGCCTCTCGTCTCCTCCTCCTCTCCTCCTCTTCTGCACCGGCCTCCTCCTCTTCCTGCACCGGCCTCCTCGTCTCCTCCTCTTCCTGCACCGGCTCCTCGTCCTCCTCTTCCTGCACCGGCCTCCTCGTCTCCTCCTCTTCCTCCACCGGCCTCCTCGTCTCCTCCTCTTCCTGCACCGGCCTCCTCGTCTCCTCCTCTTCCTGCACTGGCCTCCTCGTCTCCTCCTCGTCTCTCTTCCTGCACCGGCCTCCTTGTCTCCTCCTCTTCCTGCACCGGCCTCCTCGTCTCCTCCTCCTCCTCTTCCTGCACCGGCCTCCTCGTCTCCTCCTCTTCCTCCACCGGCCTCCTCGTCTCCTCCTCTTCCTCCACCGGCCTCCTCGGCTCCTCCTCTTCCTCTTCCTGCACCGGCCTCCTTGTCTCCTCCTCTTCCTCACCGGCCTCCTCGTCTCTCCTCTTCCTGCACCGGCCTCTCGTCTCCTCCTCTTCCTCCACCGGCCTCCTCGTCTCCTCCTCTTCCTGCACCGGCCTCCTCGTCTCCTCCTCTTCCTGCACCGGCCTCCTTGTCTCTTCTCTTCTGCCCGGCCTCCTCTCCTGCACCGGCCTCCTCGTCTCCTCCTCTTCTGCACCGGCCTCCTTGTCTCTCCTCTTCCTGCACCGGCCTCCTCGTCTCCTCCTCCTCCTCTTCCTGCACCGGCCTCCTCGTCTCCTCCTCTTCCTGCACCGGCCTCCTCGTCTCCTCCTCTTCCTGCACCGGCCTCCTTGTCATCTCTTTTAAACTCAGAACACATTAAACCGTCTCTCACCGCAGCCGTACAGCCGTGCGACTCTCTCGATGTCTCTCTCCGTCAGTCTGTCTCTCTGTCCCATCCTCATCTTCGTCTCCTCACCTTTTGACACGATGGTGGGCAGATGGTTGGCCGAGAAAAAGGCACTGAAAAAAAAAAAACAGACAAATTCAAAGTGAGTGACGAGGACAGAAGAAGGAAACTCTCTTCCTGTCTTCGTAGTCGGACGCTACCTGCCGTAGTGCATGATGGAGGTGATGTCATAGGAAGTCCAAACGTCTCTCCAGATTTCTTCTGGAAGTTCTTCTCCATCCCTGAAAACACAAACATGAGGAATCAGTGAAACAAACAGAGATCAGGTGATCCAGCTCGGCCCTGCGACGTTTGACCGTCTCTGTTCTCACCTGTATCCTCTGTGGGAGGAGCTTAATGTCTCAGCAGTTTTTAAAAGACTGAAGCTAAGAAAAGAAAAAGAATAGCTTCGCCTCTCCCTCCATCCTCCCCTCCAATCAAATCAACCCCTAAACCCCGGCTGCAGTCAACTACCCCTAAAACAGAATCATTACACAAACTCTCACATACTGCTCAACTTTCCCCTTACAAAGCACCTTCTCTCCCTCCCCTTCCTCAGGTATTTCATATAGTTTTGCTGGTTGTAGTCTGATGCGTGTCTGTTGATGTCTTAGTATTTTGCCGTCTTTATTTATTTTTTTTATTGTATTTTGGAGTTGTCCTGACCTTGTCTGTTTTTTTTGTGCCTCATTTGTTATGTGTATGTCACCAGTTTGTCCCTCTACACATGTTAATGCTCAGTACATATATGCTTCTTTAATGTATTTGTACTAAAATGCGTTCATTTTCAAAAACAGGTGCATCCAAATGTTTCAACATTAAAGGTCCCATATTCTTCGTTTTCTGGTTTTATATGCTCTTGAGTGTGTTTTCCATGTGTCCAATCAGAGCGGACTTGGCCCACATGGGGTCTAACAGTGTGGGCTCAACAGAGTGTAGCTGACGGACTCAGAGCGGAGAGGGAGCAGGAGGAGCAGTTCATGAAAACAGACACTTTTTAAAAACTTTATCTATTGTGAACGTACAAAAGTAGGAACATAGATTAAATATAAGAACCCCAAAAAGGGCAGAATATGGACTCTGTAACATTTTAATATAACATTATAGTCATTATGGCCTTTAGAAAAATGTTTTTTTTGGGAGGTGGTGTAGAGCACTATAGACCCCTGTGGTGCGGCCTAAGCTTTTGTCCCCTTACATTACTTTTACTTGAGTAAAAAGCTTAAGTTGATACTTCTACAGAAGTCTTTTTTAAACCCTACTATCTATACTTCTGAGTAATGAATGTGAATACTTCTGAAACTTCAGAAAACTCTCCCTGGATTCTTTTGAAGGAAACTTAAAGTCTCTCTCTGAGCGTCTCAGATGATTTATCTTTCGATCTGCAGAGTCCTCTGCACCTTTAAGAAAAAGCTAAAGACCAGCTCTTTCATGAATACCTACTAACTTAATGATGATGGTCTCCATATTATTGATGATGATGATGGTAATGACGATGGTTTTTGTTTGATAACGATGACTTATAAGATGGTTTCTATACTGATTAGAGCTCTCAAGAACTGCCCTCAATGTTGTGCTTTGCCTCTGGTCACTTCCTGTCAGCACCTGTGTGTCCAATCAGACTCAAAGCTGATCGTTTGCTCTTACTCACATTGTTCCCTTTTTTCTAGATCCTTGTTTGTGTTGTTCTTACTCTCTGATGTACGTCGCTTTGGAGAAAAGAGTCTGCTAAGTGAATTGTAGAATTCTGTATTCAAACTCTCTGTAACCATCGGAGGGTTTGGTGCATCAGTGGTCACCTGACATGATGTTGTGCGACATGACGGTGATGTGTTCCTCTCGGTCCATCCTCGTGTGCTCGTGTTGGAAGCCCAGAGCGTGGAGAATCTCATGGGCGATGTTACCCACGATGCACGGCGGC